GGAGGGGGGGAGGGAGGGAGGGGTGTCTCACGTCATGTTGTATGTGTGGGTGCTTCGTTCAGAATGGAGGGCGCTTCCATGCGAGCAATGACGGCTACGTCTACGCCTCGCCGACGCCAGAGGACACCTTCAACTATGCTACCTACCAGTGAAGACCACACACAGGCACACGGAGCCTCCCGTGCGTGTGGGTGTGTCCTACATGGGTGTGTCCCTCTGTGTGTATGCAGAGGCGTCATCGTGAAGATATCCATCCGCCGGGCCCACCTTGACTTGTCTTTCAATCAGCCTGGCAAGGTGCGCTTCAGCCCCAACGTCGACTACAACATCGAGGCGTTCGCTGTCGTGACCAACCAGTGGTCCCTGCCCACTGCCCAGTGGACCAACGTGCACGTCCGCGTCAACCACGTCTGACGTGCATGTGACTGCATGGTGGCGGTGGACTGCGGCTGGCGTGCGTTGCGAGCCACTCAGCCTGGCTAGTACTTCCAGCTCGCCAACGACGCCACAAGACCCCACGTCTCGTCTGAGAGTCCACGGCGCGGGGCGTGCATGCGTGTGTTATGTCGTGTCATGTCGTTTGCATGTATTCGTGTTAAGTGAGACGTCGTGCTGTGTATGCGCGTTCGTGTGTGATCCGTCTCTATGCATGGTCACAGACAGTGCACGGAGATGAGACAACAAACGATGCGATCACTTTATCTGAGTGCCCGGTCATGGACAAACAGGTGACAAAGACGAACCTCGCATGCCCCTTGGCATAAGTACCCCCCGCCGACACGCACACGCACACAGACGCCGAGATATGAACGTCCAGAGACCGACCTTCACAATATGCGCACTCCCGTGGTCCATTCATCCATCCCCCGATTTCTCCCCCCTCTAGTTTGGCGCGTGCACCGGGCAGGGCGCGTGTGTGTCTGGTGCACCGTAACAGCAGCACTGGAGAGTTTGTATCAACACATAAGGTCGGTTTACAGCAGCAGCAGCAGCGATACCTGCACTCAGTCGCTCGCTGACGCGATCGGCCCATGCCAGCCATAAATGGGATGGCTACCTGTACATATGCTACATGTCTAATTAAGCCCCTGCCCCCTCCTTCCTCTAATTCCACATCATGTCAGCCAGCACCTCTCGGCCGACACTGCTAGTCACCCATCTATACCTCCTGCCCACCTCTCCTGCCGTCTCCCACACACAATCCTGCAGCAGCCTCCAGAACGCACCCCGGCCGCCCTGACGATCAACCACAGCCCACTCGTCCCCCAACACGGCCACCGACATACCAGCAAGACTTGGAGTGACGGCGGCCATGCTCGACTCCTGTTTGTTGTGGTTGATGCAGCTGCAGCTGGCCACTGACACGGCGGCGGTATCAGATTGGCTGCGGGTGGGCTGAAGTGGGGGAAGGCCGTGGGGGGCGTGGGGGAAATGGTGTACAGGGTGTCGGGGGGGCTTGCCGCCGGTGCATGTGATGCGCGAACAGGACTCCTTGAGGAGAGACTTGAACACCTAAGAGACAAGACAAGGCGGACGGACGGACGGGAGGATCATTTTCCCTTCTGTGCGGGTCCGTTTGTGTCTTCACATTCTCACCTGGTCGATGAGCTTCATGTCCTCCTCGTACGCCTTGGCATCCTCCTCCACACGACGACTGCAACGCGCACACACCACCACACAAGAGACATCATGAGACCTCCCTCCTCGTCTTCTGTGTTCTCACATGGCACCAGCCTTCCTCTGATTATGAGGGAGATTATCGAGCGCCGCGAGCATCCCGCCGCCGTCGCAATGACCGCCGCCCGACGGCCTCGACGGCGAGGGAGTGGCGCTGCGGTGTGGTCCGGCTCGCCGCTTCCGTGCGCTGCACTGAGCCGCCCCGTGCAGATGATTCAAATGGTCCAGGTCCATCTGCATGGCGCAAAGGGACGCAAGGATGAGGAAGTGGGTATGTATTCTCTTCCTTCCTGCTGCATGTGTGTGTACTGTACCTGCATGCGACAGCGCAGGTTGGCCACTACTAGGTTCTCATCGGCGTGAACGGATCTGAAGTGGGCCAGCCACTCCGCCCACCGCCGGTAGAGGTACTGCCGGTCCCGCTCACGCAGCATCCTCAGAAAGGCCTGGAGATACCTGCACACACACACACACACACACCACACCATCATGATGCATGGCTTGGTTCTTTCCTCCATAGATGTGGAATAGATGTGCGGTTCGCCATCTGGCCCACCCGTCGCCCATATCGTGCCAGAGAGGCCGGGAGCGCGCGGCGTCCCTCTCGGCCGCCTCAACCATCTGCTGCTCGGCCTTCTTGTGGCGCGTCCACTCATCTGGGTTGCGGGGAGTGGGACTTGACTTATTCCGAGCCGCCGCCTCGAAGGCAGCCTTTCTGTCGGACACTATGCCGTGAGGATCATACTCAAAATACAAAAATGGGCGGGACGGCAGCACGCTGCGGCTCCTCCCATCACCATACTGATGCATCCCCAATAGGGATGCGCCGGGCCAGATCGCTAGTGTAAATCCTGAAGTCTGCCCTGAGGTTCTTTTGCGTGCATCTCCTCTGCCGCGATGGACTTCATCAATTTGGTTAAGCGCCTGAATGAGATCGAGACCCGCAACAGGCAGCTCGAGTTCCAGATCTCGAGTGAGCAGTCGGTGGCGGGCACACATGACAAGACCCTCGAGGAGCTCAAGCACAAGATTGACGCCGCAGAGAAGCGACAGGCGGCCCTCGCAGACGGCAACCGCAGCCTCAGGGTGCAGCTGGAGGAACGCAGAAACCTCAACAACAGCCTAGAGAACGTTGCGCTCAAGTGAAGGGGGGGG